TTGGCAAATCCACACCATGATCATCTCCCACCCGGAAACCAATGTCCCCACTGTGGAAGGACGTGGGGATCCAGAACTGGCCTCCACAATCACTTATGGACTCATTGCTAAAACCGTGTTTATGGAAGACAATCTTACTCGGCTATGAGTGATCGCCAAAGAAGAAGAGTGTGTGTGTGTATATATATGTGGTAGATTATCAGTGAAGTGTTAATGTCAGCTGTTTTTTGCCCTCCCCTTCCTATTACATAATTTTATTCAAGTAGACTATCTTGTCAATTGAAAATTAAATTGGTGAGAGATTCAATTAATACATTACACTGCTCACTGTCAGTACAAACATGACTCACAGCAGTTTGTGCCGAAGACTAGCTGTGGCTTCAGCTGTGGCACGCATGACCTGCTTTGTTTTTAATGTGATACCATCAACATGAAATTGAGGGGCTTTTGCCTCTGCCGAGCTCGGCAGCTCTTTCAATCGCAATTTTAATTAAAGATTTGTTTCTCTCCTGCTTCAATAAAAGAGTGGGGGGGGGGTGTTAGGCAGGCATTGAAATTAGAAAGCTGGATTATGCATGAAAGCAACATGGAGGGCAACGTTAACTGACATCGGAGTTAATCAGAGCATTGCGGTCGTGAAATAGAAGCAAGTCATGGAATCCATACAAATGGGCCCATATACCACACATTCCACCACACATCTGCGCCCAATGTGCACTTAGCAATCTTTCCCATCACTTGTCAAAAATGTGTAAACTGGACACTGGCAAGGACCCATGGGCCTTCATAGTCCATATAATTCTCAGATAGTTGGAGCAATAGTTGGAGGAAGTGGCCCTATCTGCAAGTGTGCAAGGTGTGGGCTGCAGTAGCAGTTTGCATCCAGACTGTAGCACTGGTTCCGTATCATAAATCCAAATTGCTAAAAAGGAGAATGGTTTCATGAAAGCTGGAGATATAGGGATTATGGTTCAACTGGAGAGGGGGCTCCCCCCTATCGATGCCCATTGCAGTCCTCAGGGGAGGACTGTTACATTTGAGCCCTGTTTGGGGACTTGCTGGACGCAATTAATTGACTACTAAGATGCAGGCCTAGATGTACCCCTGGTCTTATTCAGGAGGAGTTGCCCTTTCTTCTTATGCATCTGGGGAGAAAATTATTTCAAAGGTAAAGAACTTTAGTAAACATCATGCTGGTGGAATCATTAATGTTGTCCAGGAAGACTGCGACTTTGTACCTCTGACATTTTTGACACTGTTCTTGATTTTGCTATTTTACGCAAAAGACACAAGTTGGGGGTACATAGAGCACTGTCGCTGTAAAGCCGACATTAATTGCACTGAAGTTTCCTCATTAGTTGTAAGCGAGTCTCGCAAAATGAATGGAAACAATGAAGCTCAACAATTGGTCCTGTAAAAGATTTATTTCATTACCAGCCTCATCCCACTCTGGAAGAACAACACTGTGTTTCCCAAGAAAGCATATGTCAGACATTAATTTTGCACTTCATTTATCAGTGTCACTTATAAGCCATGAATCATACCCAATGAACTCAGGGTCTACACATTTTGACGTAATAAGAATCCTTGATTGAACTTGCAAGGGCATATCCGTCTTGTTGCTGAACAATGTAAGGGTTCTTCAAGTAAACTGTGCCTATTAATACAATAGATTTTCTATCTGCAGTCAGAATGAGTGATTTCTACACAGTCCACAGCCCAATTAAACTAGTACTTGGCACTCTGTCAGTTTAATCCCATCGGTTTCAATTGGGCTAAATCAACTTAAATCCAAGGACTTCCTTCACATGTGGATCAAGTGGTAAATGTGGTAATCTGAATGACCCAAGATTAGAAAAAACAAAAAGCAGCTGTGCTCAGAGGCCAATCTCTGGTAACCAGATTTGCTTCACTGATTCGGAAACATGATGGTTTTGTCTTATTTCTTTGAACGCTTCTTTCTCAAAATCATTGCTCAGTGTAAGAAACGCCTTAGAATGTCAGCACCTTTCCTCATTGAAAAAATACAGGCAAGTTTGTCAGGAAATGGAAATGTCTTACTTGCTAAATCTAAACTTTTTAAAATGGCAGAGTTAACATGTAATTTCTAAGAGATGAAGATGGATTTCCAAAAGATGCAAAATATCACAGGAAGCTGGAAGTTCTTTCCCTTCCAACCCTAAAAATTTTGGAACATGACACAACAGATGTATCCTTCCACTTTAACAGATATTGTCACAACCACCAAGAGAACAGCCATCTACTGAAAGATTTACAGCTAAAATTGAGGATTGTACAGCAGCCTTTCATACCTTCAGTTGGGAACATTAGTATGGACAGGTGGCGAAGGTGGAGTAGCCCATCAGGAATCCATTTCTCTCCTTTGATGCATACAAGTCAAGGCAGCTACTACTCCAGAAGATGAAAGAATGTGGAATTCAGATGTGTGTGTGCATGTGTGCGTGTGTTTCACCATCAGTTGGCCTGGATGGTGCAGCAGCTAAGTATTGGGTTCAAACAAGTTCAAATCCCTGCACAATAATGCTCAGCAGGTGGTCTGTAGCCATGGACTCATCACTGCTGAACTGAGCTCCTCAGGGCAATAAATGAATGTTAATTAAAAGATTACAGAATTCTCTCCATTTGAAGCTCATTGGAGAATACTGATCAACCTAGTCCTGGTGCTTCATTAACTAGCAGTAGTACTAACTGCCTATTTGCTCTTTATAAGGATTTCCAAATTCAACTTCCTCTTCAAGAAACCATATCCCAATTTTTGGGATATTGCAGTTATGAAGCAAAATCCTTAAAGTTCTGTCTCCTGTTCCTGCAACGCCAGGCTCCTGGGATTTCATAACTTGTATTTTGAAATATTTCATATGATTGCAATTGATAGTTTAGAAGTATTTATTCCAGGGGTGATGGTGTACACTTCCATAGGTTTTCAGTAACTAGAAAAAAACAAGCATTTATTAACTATCTTTTTGTGGTGTAGGTCCATCATAAAATATTACCTTTACATGTTTTGTAATTTTTAATATTTGGGAGCTGAACTAACATTCCAAGTTCTTAAGAAATAAGAGCCCTGCTGGATCAAGCCAAAGGTTGATCTATTCTATGGGGCACTCTGTCCTCACAGTGGCAAACCAGATGCCTATGGGATACCTGCAAGCCAATATTAACCAGAGGAGTAATGTGATGCAAGAATGAAAGGGCTATCACCCCTAAAGTCTTAACTTGCTGAGAAACTGAAGAGGGATGTTATCTTATGAGGGAGAAGGATAACAAATTAAGTGTTTAGAGCAAGGGAACGTCTGTTGCCTTTCAGATGTTGTTGGACTACAACACCTATCATCCATTGCTAATGTTGTTGTAGTGGATAGTAAATAAGAGTCCAGAAACTGGAGGGATATAGAATCATAGAATTGTAGAGTTGGAAGGGACCTTGAGGACCAACTAGTTCAGGCATCCCCAACCTGCGGCCCTCCAGATGTTTTGGCCTACAACTCCCATGAGCCCTAGCTAACAGGACCAGTGGTCGGGGATGATGGGAATTGTAGTCCAAAACATCTGGAGGGCCAAAGGTTGGGGGTGCCTGAACTAGTCCAACCCCGTGCAATGCAGGAACATGCAGCTGTCCAATATGGGGATGAAACCTGCAACCTTGGCCTTATCAGCACCGTGCTCTAACCAATTTGAGCTATCCAGGTTCCTATCATGAGTTCCAACCATTGGTTTGGTGGGGGGACAGGAGGATGGCACAAATTTTCTCCTTTGAGTATTTTAAAATTATTACCCAATATCCAAATAGAAATAACTGTAAGACAGTTGGAATGAGAAGAGGAAGAGGACAAAAAGCTGAATTCTCATCAGCATCACAATGAGACTGCAGGCCAAAATAAATTAATCAAGTCTGTAGACTAGAGAAACCATAGAGAGAAAAGGTGGCCAAGAACTGAGTCCTGAGGGACAGTAACAGAGACAAGAACTTGGAAAACAACGTTATATTATTCTAAAGTATTTGCTAATGTATTGCAAGACAGAAGCGAATGCAAGAGAGGACCAGTAAACTCCAAAGAACCAAAAAGTGAAGAGTGCCCAGCAAAAGTGGCATATGAAACTGGAAAACTTTTAAGCAAAGGCATCAGATTGTTTTTCTTTTTTCATTTCATCTTCACAAGAACTGTGTAACTCAGTGGCAGCACTAGAATAGAGAATGGGGCAGTAGCCTTTAATATCACTGTGAGCTGGAAAGTAGACTTAAAAAATAATAATTTGGCCTGTAGCTTGCTCTGTACAAGTCCTTTGGCAGAAGATTCTTGGTTTGTTGCAAGCTTGCACTCTCAACCATTTCATGTCCTCTTGGATACTGGAACTACAACTTCCCAGAGTTAACAGCTAATCCTTATTTAGCTTCCGAGGGTTAAAAAGCAGTGTGTGATTTGGAACTCTTGGGTCCCCCTGCTGAAGCTAAATGCCTACAGAGATGCAGGGAAGAAGCCAACTCTTACATATAGAAATCATAGTTTTAGCTGCATCCTTGGTCACTGGTCCATTTACTCCATCTTTGCTTGCAAGTGCATTATACACACGCATATGTCCTTTTGTATTCTGAACACTTGCTCCTTGTCTTCCCAGTATACTGGCAGCAGTTTCCAACACCACTTGCCCTGACCAAGCCACCTTTCTAAGAATGCTCCCTCATTGTACTGCACCCGAGAAAGTAAACTGTACAGCCTGGTTGCCCATAGGGATCTTTTCATATATATTTCTCCATTGGACACTTGTTTGCATCTTGAAGCTATTCCTGGAGCAATCCTAAAAGCTGCTACCACTAAAATGTTTCCTGGAAATGGGTCATTCCTGCAATTTGCTTATAAACGATCCTCTGTTCCTCTGATTTTTACATTTGCTATTGCCCACAATCTGCTTGTGTGATTGATGATGGAACCACATCAAATTGATACAACATATGAAAACACACGAAAGCAAAGATCAGACACTGATTGATCTTCACTCTTTAATAGGTTCACAATTGCCTGTTACTTCATCTTTGCAAAAAGGTATTACTGATGTATACATTATTTTTATTGCAGTGGTTTCTACAGAAGATGGCTAGTTCTGCGCTTGAAGCACAATATACACATTTAGTCATAGGCATGATTAAACACAGCACGGGATTGTCTTAAACAATAATAAAAATATATCCCTAAAATTGGGGGGGGGAAGATGTAGAGCCAAAAGATAGCTTATTAAATATGCTGAATTCTGCATGGAGATACAATAAAAAAAATCATGACAAAAGTTAGCCAGTTCTTGTTCCTTCAGGAATGCTATGCAACACACTGTAGATTTTTCAGCAAACCTGTTTCAGCAAGCTTAAGGAGGCAAAAGCCTAAAATGCAAAATACTCAAGATTTGTCTGGCAAATCCATCCATCTTGCTCTGGAGTGATTAGAGATCGACTCAGACTGCCTCACTTAAGAACTGTGCGTTGCTACCCTTCTTCATTATCATGGTTAAGCCAGCAGGAAGAGAAATGTCCTTAAGATGCAAGGCCCAACAAGAAGCCGCCGACAAACCCGCCAGATACAACTATGTTCTGTTTAAGGAATTCTGTTGTCTGAAAAGGAAAGAGAGTTCACTATAGACTGTGGAAATGGCATTACAGCAAAAATAAAAAAACATTTTTAAAATAAACAAATACTTTTTGCACTCAGATAACCACCAGAGTTACAGAGTACTGTAACTCTGGGCAGAGCTTTGTTAGTTGTGGAAAGATTGTTCATTGTTTTAAAAAGGAACTATCTACCTTAGTCTTGAATTATAAGTCTATAATGCTTGTGTAGAAGGCATCTGCAACCACCCTGGGACATTTCAAATGCTTTACAATGTTTTATCATAAATACTTTAAATAATGAACCCCTAAATAAAAATTCCAGAGGAGTAGTCTGTTGCAAGAAAATCTGTAGTCCTTAGGCACCTTTAAAAGGCTAACAAATGTATTGTGGCATGCAGTTTTATGCATTTGATGCACCAGAGTTTATGCCAAAGTACATTTTTTTAGTTTTTTTAAGGTGGCATTTGTTCTCAAATAAAAACCTATTTCTAAGGAAATATAATTGTTTCATGGATACAGATATCTGATTCTTTAAGGGCCAATGGAAGACTGAATAAATAAAATATGCTATAGAACCAGTCAAAAGGCCTCCTGGCACCAAACAGTCAAACATTCAAGTCAGGCAATATACCCAAGTGAAGGACTCTTCGCATGGGGGGTGGGGACTGCATTCCCTCCCTTCTTGCTGAAGTCCAGGGTAAAGCAAAGGCCATCTGGGGCACAGCACACAGAAGTGTGCAGCCCAAAGCTTTACTCAGCACCCCTTTTCCTGGAGACAAGGGTCATCTAACATACCATAGGTTGTTAAGATACGGAACATCTGGAAACCCAACATCACATCAAGGCCGCAGCAAAATCAATATTCAAAAGCAAGTAAGACATGATTTACCTCCTCAATCAATGTGTTGATTTCAGGAGCTGCCTTGTTTGCTCGTTTTTTGAGTTGCTTCTTTGCTTTGTTTACATCTTTTTCAACCCTTTTCCAGTCAACCTGTACATAGCCACTATGACTAGCAATCTAGGAAAAGTAAAAGACAGACATCTGAGGAGCTAGAGCAAAAAAAATTCTCAATGCATTTAAGGAAATGTACTCATTTAGGAAACTATTATCTGCTAAAAATAGGTCACCTTCCACATTTTGTAACAACATAATCCCCCTAGACTGTATATATCTTTAAACTTTTAATTTTAAGATAAATCAGCAGAGAGACTGCAATAAATATTTAAAGGCTAGAATAGTATTTATGGGCATGCCACTTAAAACCTATCAGTTTGTTTACAGAATCTATTTTTGGCTTACAGTCATAATGTCTTTAATGGTACATTTACATACGGGAATCCTAATCCTTGCTGAAGGCCAGCTTGCAGCGGGGGGGGGGATGATTTAGGATGGGGTGGAAGTGTGGCTCCACTTGCAAGGAAAAGCTGTACTAGTTGGATGGTCCATCCACACTGGAGGCCCTTGATACATCCACACAGAGCTCAACAGTCACAGAAGGACCACCAGCAGTGGGACTCATTCAGCAGCATTCTGGGGCATATCATATTGCCCTGGAATGCTGAATCCAAAGTCCTCTCTCTTCTTTGTCAGTCTCCTTAACTGAGCCAGCCTGAAACTCATGCCCAACACTGGGGGTAGGGCTTAAAACTATCAGTGAGGGGAACACACACACCCCAACCAAAAAAAAATGGCTTCCATGTTCCACCCTGGCCAGAGCAAATAGCACTTTCCACTTATGATTGCTATGTTATATTTTACAAAATACCCCCCTTAATGTCTCATACTTAAATAAGAGACATGAAAACTCTTAATGCTAAATGTTACAAGGTAACTATGTTTACGTTGTGTAGTCATATTTACAAAACGAGAATGAGATTTTCACAGAGACTTTAATTTTTAAAGTGTGCGTGTGTAAATGAGATAGATAGACTGACCGACCGACACTTCTTCAACCCAAACTCTAACGTTTTTTTATGGGCACTTCTCACATGGATTTTAGCAGAGCTGTACCAGCAAGAGGAGATCTGGGAAATACCTTCCAGGGACCACTTTATGCAAAACCATTCAGCTGTTGTTACAGCCTCCACTTCCCTTTCTGTTTACTGAGCAGTTAACTTGCCTATATTCAAATCATAGCACTTTCTAAATAATTAAAGTCTGCATACTTGTAGCAAGAGAAAGCCGCCGCCTACTGCAGTCGCTGCAAGTTTTCCAACCTTCTGGAATAAAAATCCTGCACACCTTGGAGGAACGAGAGAGAAAAAGGGAAAGACAAATTAACAGTGCAATCTTATACACATCTACTCAGAACTAAGAACCTCCAAGTTCAATAGGGTTTATTCCTAGGAAAGTGTTATTGGATTACAGTCTGAGTTGTCAAACTGTGCATACTTACTGGGCTCACAACATATTTACTTTCAAGTAAATGTGCACAGGAGAATAGGCAATGAGGATAATCTGATAATTGGTTACTGTGTTCCAGAATTCTCATTCTCGTGCTTAAGATTGTGCATTTTGAAACTCCCTAACTGAATACTGTTGGCAAGTGTAGAATCTCATGGGATAAGAAATATGCAGGAACTCTCATTATTCTCATTGGCAACCCAGACAGAGCAACATGAGACTAACAGCACAACAAGAGATATGATTTAGTGGTCTTTGCAAAATATGAGGCTAGAATCTACATTCCTGAATAAATAAGCCTACATGACATTACTGCATGCAATCAGTCACAGTGGTACCTCGGGTTACAGACGCTTCAGGTTACAGACACTTCAGGTTACAGACTCCGCTAACCCAGAAATAGTACCTCAGGTTAAGAACTTTGCTTCAGGATCAGAACAGAAATCGTGCAGCACAGCAGCAGTGGGAGGCCCCATTAGCTAAAGTGGTGTCTCAGGTTAAAAACAGTTTCAGGTTAAGAACGGACCTCCAGAACGAATTAAATTCATAACGCGAGATACCACTGTACTTGATTGTTAACTTCTATAGGTGGATCCTGTTGATCAAACTAATCTGTAATAAAGATGCTGATGGATATAAACTGTATTGTCATAATATAATTTACACCACTATTCTGAATACTTTCTTTTTAGGTTAGGTCCCTTAACGCTGTGGAACTTGTAAAGATTATTTTTTCTACCTAGTCTTTGAACAATCCTTAATATCTAGCTCTATTTTATTTTGCATTCTGAACAGCAACATTACAGTGCCACAGGAGGGTGGTTTCACTTTACCAACCCACTTTTATTTCCAAATCTTTTAATGAAACCGAAGTTAATTAAATAAATACTGAACTATAATACCTCATTTGTAAGCATTTGTAGGTTGCAAGGTGTAAATGTAAAAGTATGAAGTCACACTCAGAGTAGGTCCATTCAAATCAATGGTCTAAACCAGGCTTCCTCAAACTTGGCCCTCCAGATGTTTTGAGACTACAATTCCCATCATCCCTGACGACTGGTCCTGCTAGCTAGGGATCATGGGAGTTGTAGGCCAAAAAAACATCTGGAGGGCTGAGGTTGAGGAAGCCTGGACTAAAGTAACTTCAGTCCATTGATTTCACTGGTCCCAGACCAATTCAACTGACATTGAATATCACCCATTATCTTTAGTCACAGTTAAAAACGCCAACTATTCCAATCCAGTCTCATTATTGTGCCATCCCTGCCCTATCTTAAAAAAAAGATAGCAATTTCTTCTCCTATATATTTTGAAAACTGTTTATAAGAATATTTGAAACCTCTTTTACTAGTTAAGTGTGATCTCAAAAATGCAAAACTTATATCACTTTAAAAATACTTCCAGAAGAAAATTGTTCTATCTATTAAAAACACACTACAGTATTTAAAAACAATTGGTTCTCACCAGCCTGATACGCCACCCATTACAATCTGAGTAGCTACGGAATACTTTTCTACAATAGGTCCAGAATTCCTGCCAAACACTCGGTTCCACCAATGATGGCGCCTTGCATATTCTGTTAAATCCAGTACTTCGTATGAATCCTCATCACTGTCATGCTCTTTAAAAGAGAAATTGATAGTTAGTTTCCCTCTACACTTTTAAAAAAAGAGTAAATGCGTTGCAGCTCTCAACAATGCTAATTCAGAAACATATGCCTGATGAAAGTGATTTAACTGAACACACTAATAATCCAGCTGTTCAGGAAGAGCAAGCTATATAAAAACAACAGGGAGATATTACTCTAATTATTTATATTAATCTCCTTCCACATAAATCCCGTGGCAGTGTACAAATTATAAGAACAGCAGCTTTTTAAAACAAAAAAATATGAGAAAGTGAGTTTAAAAACAATACGAATTGGACACCTATGGCAGGGACCCATTCATATAGGTGGGAAAGCTTGAAAAAACAAAAATGTTTTCAATTGTTTCTGGAAAGTGGAGAGAGTGGCTGCATGCTGTTCCACAGAACAGGAGCAGTCATAATAAAGCCCTGTTCCAATGATGTCCACTCGCTTGCACCACAGGACTTCTGGTTTCTCTTTTCCTTCTCCCTCTTGCAGCCCCTTGCAAGCTCTCCAGATCTGTTCTAGAGGGTCCCCCACCCTCTGCAGCAGGTTTTGGGGGGTGCCTATGGGGCTGCAGGGGGCAGGAGAGGAAGGAAAAGCCCTGTTGTACAAGCCTCCTCACACTTTGCAGGATCTCACCTACTGCATTTTCTTAATTATATGAATATTGATAAAGATAAAAAGGCTATACATTCTAATGTACAATTTGAGTGTACTATGGAAAGGCAACAAAACTTCTAGATTTCTAAGCTTATTAGATAACGGGTCCCATTCAGTTTAAGAAATATATGGCATATGCATATATATCTTGTGGATATAAAATGTTTGCTTATGTGGCACTAATCTAAGAACACTCTCAGGAATCCACAAAGCAGAATACTAGCAAGTCAACTAAGGCCACAATACTGTAAATATTTCGGATAGCACCCTTCATTTTCTGCAATGTGATATATGTGTTTCAGTGACATGCAATCATTGAACATGTCCTACCATTAGTCTCCATGGCCATTCCAAGGCCTTGACCTGCAGGTTTACCTCCCGTTCTCCTCTTTACACATTAAACACACAAGCATACAAAAATAGGCACATCCCTGCAGTGTTACCAAAATGCAGAGATGGCAACAACAACCAAAGTACTCAGAAGAAGTTCCATGCAAGAAAGAAAGGGAAAACAAAGGCACACAGACACATAAGCATTATATATATATATATATATATATATATATATATACACACACACACACACACACACACGTGTGTGTGTGTGTGTGTGTATATATATATATGTGTGTGTGTATATATATATATATGTGTATATATATATATATATATATATATATATATATATATATATGTACATATATATGTATATGTATATATATGAGAGATATGTATATGTATGTGCATGCACACACACTCACACACGCCCCTACTGCAGCCAGATTTTCACGTTCTTTCAGTAGTTCCTTTAAAAAATTGAAAAAGGAAAGCCGAGACACTCACAATTTTTAAGATCAGGCAATCATGTCATGGATTGGTGGAGCATTAAGTCTGTATTTTGTACTTCAACATAATGGGAGAATACTCGAAAGAGATTTCACAGCAAAGAAAATCAAAAGAGCTAGGATGAAAATGAACACTAGCCTTCATTTCCTGTGCAGTAAATCTGTCAAACGTGATCCCTAAGGATGTAAGTTTTTAGGGTCATTAGGTGAAGGACACCAATGCCATTCTGTCTAGAGCTCAAAATCCCCATAACTTATAATGTCATGGGCTTAGTGTGAGCCCTAAATTATCTATGCTTTCCAGTGTCATTCACAGCTGACATTTCCTCAACACCTACCTAAAATATTTAAAATTATAAATAAAATAATTCTCCCTAAGGCATTTGAAGTGTAAATAACACTAACCTCAGTTATGCAAAATTAAAGCAATGACAAGCCAAAGAGCTGCAAGGCAGCCAAAGGGAGCAACTTTCAACCTCTGAATAAAGGGGAGTGGAGTGGCGTCAAACATGGCAAGTGGCTGAGCGCCCATTTCTCATTTTGAGCCATGGAGGACATTTGCTCTACTAACACACAAACACCAGATATGGATTCCCTGTCTGCCCATGTGGGCAAGACCAGCAAAGACAATGCATCAACTTTCTTGCCATCAGTATGGGAATACTTATGCAACTTGGGTAGCCAACATGGTGCCTTCAAGACGTTGTTGGGACGACAGCTCTCATCATTCCTCTCATCATGCTGGCTGGGGCTGGAGGGAGCTAGAATCCAACCATGTCTGGAGGGCACCAAGTTGGCTTCCCCTACCATACAGGGAAAAGACTAAATTCAGGTAAATGTTGTATGGAGCTGGAAGCACAGGCAGCTACATCAAGGATGGAAGAGATGAAACGTAAAATAAAAGACAGCCGTTAACACATTCCCAGAACAGCTTGCATGCAACATTACAAAATCGGGAATAACTACAACCATTCATTAACACGGATTAGAAAACACACACCTCACCCACAAGAACAAATGGAGCGAGCAGAGGAATCTATCCTTTTAAATTCTTTACTATTCTGACTTCATATCAGTACCTACATAAAATATGCCAATTGATAACTGTTCCACATGTAGCCATCTTCTCTCTGTATGTGACACCTTAGTCACTGCACAGCCTTACCCTAAGAGTCATTTCACTCATGGTAGAGCAACAAACCCGTTTGCCAGCCAATCTCTTCTCTCAGGCAGGCACACCTGTATGATATATATGCTTTTTGGTGCCTGTCTATCACAGCCACGCTTTAAATTTTAGGGGACTCATGAGGGGAAAGAATAGCCGTACACCTAAAAGCAGTAATCTGAAAACTAGACTAGGGGACGGAGTGGATAGGGTGACAAAAGAGCAACTGTATTTTTGCTTCCTCGGAGAAACCAAATCCTCCCCCTCTTAATTTCTCCAGCAAATACACTGCATTGTTGCACTATCCTGGATGTTAATTTTTTGTGTTGAATCTCAATCAGAGTCAAAATCTGAGTCAAAACAATCAGTCTCGCAACACCGTGAAAACTAACTAATTTATTTATTATACCGTAAGTTTTTGTGGACTCAAGCCCACATGGATGCATCTAACAAAGTGGGCTTGAGACCATGAAAGTTTATGCTGTAATAAATACACCAGTTAAGTGTTTTTAAGGCGTCATGAGGCTTTGACTGAAGTAAATTAGTGTTGGATGAACCTACCAAAAGCTAATACTCCATACTCAAGTCTAAACCACAGAGCCTCCAGAGTCAGCAGCATGTGTCTGAATGCTAGCGGCTGGGAAGCTACCAGCAGGAAATGGCTCTGCTTGTTAGAATCATAGAATTGTTGAGCCGGAAGGGACCCCAAGGGTCATCCAGTCCAACCCACTGTGAGCTCCCTATGGGCATCTGGGTAGCCACTGATCCTAAAGTAGGTGCATTTTTTTTTAATCAGACCCAGCAGGCCTCTTATTATGGCCAACCCTCAGCACACTTACTAAATAAGTGAGAACCACTGAGCACAGAGAGCCTTACTTCCGAGTAAGCCTAATTAGGCTGGCACTGCGAGAAAATGTCCTGGCTGGAGGAGGCCCCTAAGAGCGCCCTGACCCTCTCCGCCTCTAACTAGGCAGCCTGCCCCTCTATATTTGTGCCCCCCCACCCTCCGCCCCCTTGGGCAAGGGGTCTACGCAAGCCCCGCCTACTCTGGAGCCGCGCGCATCCAGCCAGGCCGCCCCAGCCCCACGGATTGGGGGTGGGCGAAAGGGCAGGGCAGGATTGAGAGAGAGAAGCCCGGGAAGAGGCGGGCGAGTGGGACTCCCAAGTCGAGACGACTGACCAGCTCCTCCATCAACCGGCTCCGTGTCTCTGCGCAAGGCAGGCCATCTCCGCTCTGGGAGGCTCGAGCGCCATGGAAACTGCGCCAGGCGGCCCTGGAGGAAGCCGGGCTCTCAACTGACCTGAGGCGGAGCGAGCTCTCCGAGACGCCATATTAGCAACTGGGGAGGACGGGCGGGCGGGGCGGGGGGGGAGAGAGAGAGAGAGAGAGGCAGCCGCAACTGCTCCGCCCACTCGCCGCTCTACAACATTCCACCCCCGCCCCCCCTCAGGAAAAAAAAAAGGCTGTGGCAGCAGCGCATGCGCGACCTGAGGAGAAACCCAGTAAAAGCGTTTTTGTAAGACTCCCCTCGGGGCCCCCGGCTGTCATGGAGTCGCGTCGCCGCAGAAGCTACTCGCGCGGGATTATGGGAGTTGTGGTTTTGAGTTCCCTTCTCCCTCAAGCGAAAGGATAGAGTGTGCCAGGAAGAGGGCCTGCCCGGAGAACCGGACCATCCGGGTTCCTTGGGCGCTGTGAAAGCGAAGCGCTGCGCAACCGGCCCCTGTTTCTGAAGCGCCGCAGAGCAGCGCAGAACTTCCTGAATCCCAAACGTTTGTAGAACGCGGTGTTGCCACAGTCTGCTTTACTGGGTGAAACCGCAAAATACAAGTGAAAGCCAATTAGAAGCAGCAAGATCAAGTCTTCTAACCATCCCTTCTAACCCAGTGCTGCTTTTTCTAAAAAAATAATAATGTTTAGGTGTACTCTGTTTCCTACTCATATTGAAATACTGCCCTTCAATGAGGCCAAACTTAGAATCACAAAATGTTTAGGGGTATGTGTACTCCTGCATCCCCCCCCCCCCAAGAAAAAGCACTGGTCTAACCTTCCTCACAGGACTGTTGTGAGGCTGAAATGGGGTGGAGGAGAACTAGGTATACCATTTTGAGGTCCTTGGAAGAAAAAGGTGGTATATAAATAAGTAATGAAACCAGACAATGAAATAGAGTTTAAAAGGATTGGACAATAAAAAGACACCAGAGTAGGCACTAGATTAGTCTCGCCAAGGCAAGGTGTAGGAGGCAAGGTGGAACAGAATTGAATTAGGCTTTTGGCAAGGAGCACATGATCGCTAGAGCCCATTACAGTATATTACTTCACAGGCTGCTGGGTAGGAAATTCCCTGTACATGCACATACACTGGATTCTCTGAACGCGTACACCAAGAATCAACTTTTCAGATGCAGTGTTGTTGTTTTCTGGTTGTTTGGAGGAGTTGATTTCTGCCTGGTTTTGGTGTTTCTCGGGAGTGAAGTAGGAATTATTAATCTCAGGCTTCTTCTGATTACAACTACAATTCAGCATTCTTTCTCATCCCTGAATTAAATTGCCTTCTTGTTGATCATGTGAATGAACAGATAAGTAAATCAACTAAAGGGCCAGAACTATCAAAAGCACAAGAAGCAACCAAAAGTGAGAGAACAGCATTTGAGAAGTTCATTAACAGAGATCTTCAAAATTACAGTCGGAAGGATGCGAGTGTGGCTAACTTTGACTTAGAAATAATTAAACAGTCATGGTTGTATGAAGTTCTTCATTTTATAATATTCTTGCCTGATGCTTGATGATAATTAACATCACTTGAAACAATGGTTGTAAACATGTTATGTTGTTTATTACAGTGCCACATAGCCCAAGTCCACTTTCACCAAAGGTCTTGCCCCATAGCCCTCACCACCCCAAAAATCTAAACATGCCTGTCCTCCGTTTTAATTCCTAAGGGAAATAGTAATGCTGGCCTTAGGCATTGTTGGGGCAGCACCAGCACCTGAAAGCCTTGAACCAGCTCTCAAGGCCTATCTTTGGCCTACCATAAATGTTTTTTTCTAGCCATGACTGCAAGAAGCATCGAGTGGCTGGATCCTTTTAATTTCCCACAGTGCGACGTAATATAATTTTGGGGCAAAGGGGAAACGGTGGCAATTGTTCAATACATTGCCTTTCACATAGGATATTCCTCTGATGGCATTTCAGTGAGATGCAACATACAACCTTAAGAAAGCAATTCCCATGGGAAAATTGATGCAGTTACTTCTGCTTGGAACCATGTTCTATGCTATACAAATGCTCCCAAAACATTTTCTGTGCCAATCCAAACATTAGTAAATCATGAGTCACTCCCCTACAAAAGAGCCAAGAGATTGTACAATAAAGAACAGAAACACTGTCCCTTTTTAGTATTGCTTCCAAATGCCAGGATAGGCTCATACCTTCATTGGACCAACCAAAATGTCACAAAAAATAGCAAACAAGCTTTCCTGATATTCAGAATTGTTTATCAGGCTAGATGTTTAAGCAGTGGCAGGAGTGTGGGAGCAAAAGAGAGAAACTGGCTTGACACATTCCTAGTGCCTTCCTATTTCCCCACACACTAGGAGCCAAGGACGGCAGAATTGGGCAACAGCCCTTTAAAGAGCATAAAAGGGAGCTGGGCCAACAGCAGGATCAGACCACTCAGCCTTCAGACGCCCCAGTCCTCAACCCTCTACAGTCCTTTGCCCAAGGTGGTTGTGATAAACTCGAAGTCCATTTCTCCCATGAGCTTCCATACGTTCCCACCATACATGCCCCACAACCTTATTAAAACCAATGTATCTTGCTTTGTTATACAGCTGAGCAACAAATAGCCACAATACCATACCAGGCAAACCAGTGTTTGGTACTCAACTACTTCCGCCATGGGGAATGCATAATGGAAGTCTGCAGTAGCTTGTGGCTGTGCACTTTGAGCCACTTTAGCGCACGGGTTCTGACTTCAGCTACACAAAGCGCAAGGTGAATTCATTATTTATTATAAGCAAATGAGATGAATTTAGGTCAGCTGCAGGTGAAACCATCGTCAACACACAATGACCCTTGGTAAGGGAGCAACAGAAAAGTAACAGGATGCGTGCCAAGTGAACAAGGAAAGGAAAGGTTCTTAAACTAGTTGAAAATGCAAACTTTTGGAACCAAAAGGCAAACATGTCAAATTCTCTCTGCAAGGCCATTTATCTCATTTTGAAAAGCTCTCATGCTTTTCAAGCTAACTTTTAACATTAGCATTAAAAGTTATTAAATGGTTGCATGAGCTGAAGATCAGTCACACACCCATCCTTCTGCCACTGGAAAGCCTCTCTGAAGGATAGGATGTGGACTCCTGAGCAGTTTGAGCTATGACTATATCACCATTGGAACAACAGTAGTGGTGGTATAGGGAAATTACTCAAAATCTGCTGGAGGAACACTTCTACCGCTGCCTGATTTGGAGAGGTTCCTCTCTCCCACTGCAACCACCTGCAACACAGTTCATGCTGATCCAGAGGGTCATTACAAGAGCCTGTGCAAAGGAAAAATATATTGTCCAAGCAGCTTTCCTGCACCCTTCATGGGTTCTGAGCAGATGACAGACCTGCAACAATCCACAGGTAACCTTGAATCTAGTTGGCACTCCCCAATTAATGTGTCCAAAATGTGTGCTTCTAGAGCACCAGTGAGGGGTGTATGCAGGGGCGTACGAAGTGGGGGGTGGGCCGCTCCGGGTGCCACTTGGGGTGATAAGATGGCCCCGCCTCCCCCCAGCTGTAGAGCGACCGAGGGCGTGCACAGTCCATATGGGCACCGCTCACGTGGCATCCGTACCGGCTGCCACTCTCGCGCACTGTCCGTATGGGCTGCCTCTCGCACACGCTGTCCATATGGGCATCCGTACAGGGTACCACACGTGCGCACTCCGTATGGGATGCTGCACATGCACAGTCTGTACGGGATGCTGCACATGTTCACTCTGTATGGGCTGCCCTCCCCCGGGTGCCGGAGAGGGTTCCTCTGCCACTGGGTATATGGGGTGTCAGGGAGAGGTAGTACCTCTGGTGGGAAACACTTCATGCTCCTTCTGAGGTAGTTCGTTCACCTTTGGTCATCACCCTGCTCTCAGCTCTCACCCTGTGGCTCCTAGAAGCTGTCTGTGTGTGACAGCAGCCACATCCTAGCAATGGCTTCGACTGGCCGGCTAAACCAGGTGAAGGTAGCTGATGGGGCTCAAACCCTTGGTGAGTTAGAGACGCCCCTGCACGTGAAGACAGGCTCTGGAGGATTGAGTGGATGAGACCAATAGTGGGTCCAGTGGTCAAGAAGGTGGTTTTTGCACAGGGAAGTGAGGGGCAGATGGGGCTCATTGACCTGGGAAGGTAGCCCATCTAGAAGGAAAAGTCTGATACCAAACCTCCACTGCCCTTAAGGATATCTTAGGGAGGAGAAAAGGCTAAGGAGTAAACCCTACACAAATCTGGAATGGAATTCCTAAAACACTTGGATAGTGCTTTGTACATCTCTTCCTGGCAACTCCTGTAGCCAAGCTGGTGTCAAATGTATTGCTCTGTTTTCCTTTGGACTACATAAGTGAGACCAAGAGTGGGGTCGTTGTCTGGGTAGCCCAGCACCTCTATACACACTGCCCAGACTTGTGTCCTGGGAAGGTCCCTTTGGTGTTGCCAACGAGGCGGTTTGACCTCACCTCCAGAGCCACACTCCATTGTCTCTTGAGACAAACAGATACCAACAACAGCTTTGTAATAATGTAAATCCACAAAGGTTGTGTGATAATTAGATATTCATGATAGAGTGTGGCTGTGTAAACTTTTGGCATTAGAGTATTTGAATTATTTTCTTTTTATTTGTCTACAAATTATGCTTACTTTTCTCTCTCAAACACACATTACTGTTTATAGCTTGTGATTTTTTACGAATATTGATTCTCTCTTCTTAAATTCTTCTTTATTTGTTTGGGCATACTTATAACAACATTGTTTTCCTGCTTAAATGTTTAAAGGTTTTGTGTTATTTAAATAGCCCTCTAGATCAGTGTTTTTCAACCTTTTTTGGGCAAAGGCACACTTGTTTCATGAAAAGAATCACGAGGCACACCACCATTAGAAAATGTTAAAAAATTTAACTCAGTGCCTATAATGACTATATATAAAGTAATTCTCTTGAATAGGAATCAAATAAACACAAAGAAAGTATTTTATAATTACTTTATTATGAAATAGTAAGTAAACAGAAATATGAAAAATTATAAAATACTTTATTCAGTGCGCAACCTGGGCCTGTTTGGCTGAACACAAAGCTGATATTCTGGCTGGAATTGAAGAAAGACACACACGTAGCTCTTCGTCAACCTCTCTCTGTATTTAGTTTTTATAGCAATCATGCTTGAAAAGCTCATCTCACACAGATATGTAGTGGGA